AGTGTGGTCTGGACGATAAGACAATCTCTTACTGGGTAATTCAGATCATTGTGCAGTCACTTGTAAGAAGTCTAGTAATTTGATTAAATAAATAATTTCATTCGATTAAATAGATTAGAGGAGAATAATAAAATTATGTTCGTGGAACTGAAAACGATCGAATGCGCAACGATACCGGTTCCGCAATAAAAAAAGATATCGTTGCATGCGTGGGTTTATCTTTGGGTCCATCCTCGACGACAGACTTCGACGGGACAGTAATTCCAAAGTGTTCATAATAATTTGACCAGCCACTGTAATTTATTAAAGGAGCGGCATATGTCGTATATATGGTAGTCGTCGGGTAATTTGTTTCGCGGGAGACGGGGGTTGCTATTATTAACCCTTTTCAGCGAACTCGTTTCACCCGCAAATTGACAGGGTGCATCCTTACACGTGAGGAGCCTGGCTCGTGTTACGCCACCGATAAGATGACACTCTTCGAGCCTCCACCACCTCGCTCTCCACCTCGTATATTACCTGCGTGCATTGCCCACCTACAGTACTTGTACGTGTTCCGGTCCCTCACTTTTTCTCTTTCTCTCTCTCTCACTCCCTCGAAATTGCTTCTGCTCACAATTAAGTTTTCTGCCCGCGTTAAAAGTCACCGAGGCGTCCACGAAACTCTATACCATTGTCGATACATCGATCCTTGTACCATCGTTCCATCCGAGCGAGCCATTATTCCATATCGCAGTTTTGCTTCGACGTCCACCTGGACATTTCGAAAAGAATCGATCTCCCGTCGATGGGAAAATAATTGCGGGCTTCGTCGCTTGTGTTCCAGAACGAGCTCTTATTTCAATGTTCGATACGTTAACATTGATTCCTGCAAATGGCTTTCGAATTCATCGCCGATCATCATCACCCCAAAATTCATTATAAAATTAATTATTACTCCCATATGTGCGTGCTTATTTCTCTTCTTCTCGTTTTAATGTTGTCGTATTGCAAGTTCAAGCTTTCACTGTGTCATTTTTAACGATGTGCGATACGTGTGTTATATTTAATTTTTATGTAAAATATTATATTATAAAGAATATTATATTAATATTATAGAATATTTAATAATTATTATTATTATAGATATTATTATTATATAATAATAATTATTATTATATAGATATTATTATATAATAATAATAATTATTATAGATATTATTATATAATAATAATTATTATTATTATATATATATATATATATATAGATATTATTATATAATAATAATTATTATAGATATTATTATATAATAATAATAATAATTATAGAATATTATATTACAAGATTATATTATAAAGAATATACTCTAGATATTCGCGGATGTCCGTAACGGAGGGCGAAACGTTGAAATAACGAAAACACGTTTACGAGGCGCGGACTGCATTTGTGCGAGGTGCACCTTTAAGGAGGTTTCGGGGATCGCAAGGGATCGAGGGGATCGTCGCGGATCTCGCGTCGCCGAGAGAGAATCGAGTCGGATCCCGTGATTAAGAAGAGAAAATGAAAGCGGCGAAAAGGAAGAAAAAGATCGACAGTTTCACGATCGGAGAGCCCGGTGCAATGATGCACCTGATGCCTCGATGACCGTTGGCGCGTGCCAGCAGCCGGCTACTGCCAGCTGCGAGCCCGAATCGACTCCGTGGACCCAATCCTCCTTTTCATTTTCGTCCAGTATACTCTCTATGGATTTTCTCCGCGTTCAAAACCCCATCGACTTCCTAGATTTTCCCGGAGTTCACCACCGACTTTGCTCCTCGGGGGCTTCCGTTAATTGGACGCCGCTGCTAATTGCTCTTGGCTTCCACAAATGACTAGAAAGAGAAACCATTCCTCTTTCCCTTGTCGAACATCTGAATTCTGGAGACTTGACATTTTTTTTTCTGGAAAGTTTCCAATTGCTCGAAAATTACGAGGGCACAGATTGAATTTGTGGCGTGCGCAGCTGCACAAGATGCAAGGAGTCGTGTGCATGATTCGGAATTAAGAATTATTTTGATTTAAGCATCGAGGAATACTCTTGCAAATAATTCTTTTCGACTGTTTCGTTATCTCATAGTTGGCACGCTAGCTCGTTGTTGATTATTAGATCGCAGATTCGATGCAGTTAAAACTGTGAAGACATTGTTACATGATTAGAAATGTTATTGTATTAATCCTTTGCACTCGGAGGCATTTAAACATTAAGTCCAAAATAGTTTCTCTGAATTACAGTATTTCCATTTTCTGTGATTTATGATTGCATTTTATGCAAATGAAATTGAGCCTTGCTTTTTAAATATAGGTAGCCTTTCTATAATACGGTAAATGGGTTCTTAGAGACCCAGAGTCAGTGCAAAAAGGGGGGTTACGTATCGAAAACTTATTAAAAACATTTTTTTTTAATTCCGTATAAGCAACTTAACTCTTGTTAAAAATATAAATGTATGTATAATACGAAACGAAAAAAACAAACAAAAAATATTCCTTTCATTTAATGTAACCTTAATTTAATATATTTCTTCCTCGTCACTATTCAGTACAATCAAACGAGAATGTTTTTTTCGATTGAACGATATCACATTCACTTTCTGAACCTCCTTCTTCGTTCACATTTTTTGCATCTTCTATCGTCTTTAAAAAAAATCTGTAATTTTGGTTTGTTTGCTGGTTCTTACAAGATCACTGTAGATTTTATGGTATGAAGATAGATAATTTTGCAACTCCCTTTCCAATTTTTGGCTTCTTTCATGTATAAATAATGCTATAATATCTTTAATGTAAAGGCACTGTAGTTCATTATTCCTTCCCGTCATTATTTTAAGATAATTTAGTTTTTAAATATGTTAAACAAAAATCATATTATCAAGTACAGTGTCGTAAAATAAAAATTATTTTGGAACGTGATGAAATCGACTGCAGATCTTATGCATTTATAGGACAATTGGGTAATTACAATTGAAAATAACGTAAAGATTAAATTTCACATTAAAAACGTCAATGTATTACTTTTAATCCACTAGGATGACTAAAAGAAGAATGAACTTGCCACTTGGTTAACGTTCTTTACAACTAACGCAGACAATTTTTATTTTGCATAAAAATCCGCAGTCCAGTGATGGAACAATTTTTAATGATGCCTTAGAGTCACCTCTCGAGTGCAAATGGTTAACATTATTCTTTTGTACAGAGATTCCCAGTTCAAAAAGCGTTTCAATGCAACAGAAATCAGATCGCAGATAAGTTCTCCGGAAAGTTGATCTTACTGCGACCGGTTCCGATGCTACAATCGATTTTACCGAACGTGCTGTGGCTTTCGAGAATTATGTATACGGGTTCAGAGACGGTCGCGCAGAGATCATTCGGCATCCGAGGGACTGCTGCACGCACGAAGGCATAATGAGGAAACCCGAGGCTGCAAGAAATCCTAATTTACATCTCGGCTCCGCCGTGTGTATCTTGATCGTGGTCCGATGCGCGACGAAAGAAAGGCGCAAGGTGTGCGAGCAGTCAGCTGGCTATACCCTTTGGCACCTGTTTCCTCGGTGCCGCAGAGTCAATTTAGATGAAAAGGGCTTCGTGCCTGGTCCTTCTCGAATTCAAGACCTTCGTGAACTGCCGTGCATTATACTCTGAATCTTATATGCACTTCTATCGTCGTTGAAGGCGCGATAATCGAATTCGTTTCACAATTTTCGAAATTCTATATAACTCAACTAAATTCTTTAGTCAAAAATACGCAATTTTAAACAATTTATTCGTCTACGAACCCGACAAGCTTTAACGTAAATTTACTTGTATTTGTTATTAGGAAATATGCAATATTCACTGAAATAATAACTGGCAGTAATTAACAGTTCGGTTAAGGATTAAACGATACTGTCCAGTTCTCGAAAAATAAATATTCTTACGGTTCGAATTCAAACTTTGTGGCATTAACCCTCCAACCATGAGCAAAGTGCAATTCGCGTTCTAAATGTTTTGTAAAATTTAGCAAACAAAGCTAAATAAAAAGAATTGTTTTTTGTCCTTTTTAATCTAATTCTTAGGACGCAGCTGCATAACAAGTAGACTTAGCTCGCGATTTCATACAGAAAAATCATAAACTCGCCCGCGGTTAAAGGGTTAATTAGGATTAAAGAGAACATTTGAAAGAACAACATAATTTAAGGATATTCTATTTCATACCAAATAGTATTATCTTTAATATTATTATTACTGTATTTAATACAATAGTGGTATATCTATCAAAAACTAGGTTACTATTCATAGTATCGACAAAGTGTGGCTAATGATGAGTTCAATATACATTAGCAGAAAATTTAGTGAAAATAATATTACATTAATTTCGAAAACCAAATTATCATTCGGAAAATAAAACTTTCAATGCCTTCTTCTTTAAACTTTATTGTTTAGACATATCTCAATATTGAATTAGAGTAGAGATACACAGTAAATTCTCTCTAATTGACGCTCAGATTATACAAAAAAAATGACAATTTAGAAAGAGGAGAGCCTTGCGGCTCGTTTTTATAATTACCGATTGTCAACGACTATAAAAACGGATCGCAAGGCTCCTCTTCACAAATTCTCCATTTTTGTGTACAACTTGAGCGTCAATTCGAAAGAATTTACTGTATTCTTCAAAAATGATCTTTACAAATTGCCGTCACGCTGGCAAGGAATTACAAGTTACGACGGAAATAATATTGTAGAATAAATATTGTTAAATGCATGAACAATTTATTATATTCTTTCACTTCAGAAACCGACGAAACATTTCGATAGACCTGATACATTTATTCTTACTCTCATACATTTATTTATATCCCTATCTCGACCAATCGAAAAACCTTACGGTTTCGACGGCAGTCAAATAAAAATATCTCGCGATGCATGCCTGCACCGGCCGGTCGGCCGAATACTCGAAAGCGGTTCCCTCTAGTCAGTCGACTCTAACCGAGTGCATCTGCCGTTGTTCCAGGTGAGCGAGTGCAGGCCTCGCATCAGGCACCAAAAAGGCGGGACCCATTGCAGCAGATGCGGTCCAGGCTGGGGCGTGGTGAACCGATGCGTCCGCGGAAGAGACACAGAATGCGGCAAATGCTCTCCGGGCACCTACAGTCCTCACCACAGCATCCAGCCGTGCTGGATCTGCTCGAGATGCGGCCCGGGACTGTACGAAGCGCATCCTTGCACCTCAAAGACGGACACCGTTTGCGATTCCTGTCACAGACCGGCTCCGGACAACTTGGACTACCAAAGGAAGTGCAAGGGCCGAGCTAATCCGTTCTTGGCACCGGAGGACGCCCAGGATACCGGCGAGGAGAGCGTTCTGGTGAACGATCCTGAAGGCCAGGACCTTGTGGACGACGGCAAGGAGATATTGGAGAAGGACGCAGAAGCGGCTGTCATCGGCGAGCTGAACTCATTGGAGAGGCACTAGAAGCTAGGCTGCTGAGCAGTTGCTAAACTCTGCTTTTAACTTGATCAGCAGAGTCTAAACGAGGCGGCAGAAAAGGTTCCTACGGTGTTACTCGAGTGCGCGAGAAGCAGCGGGCGATGAGCGGACGGGGAGCCACGGCAGGGGTGTTGCACCCTCGCAGTGCCTGCTGCAGGCGTTGATGCGCTTTCAGGAGGAAATTGGAACGCGTCGCAGCTCCCCAAAAGAGGGATCCCGCGGGACCCGAGATCAGGATCTCTCTGGATGAAAGTCTGACGCCCGGGGAACCGTTCACGGATATATCGAATGCGATCGCGACCATGGATCGCGGCGCGGTCCTCTCGATTACGGGGCGTTTCCGTCGCAGCATGGCGCAGCTGATGGGGTTTTTGGATCGTCGACGGGCCGGCGAGCGCTTTTAAGAATTCATGGGAACGTCGCGGATGGAAACAGCCCTCCGGAATCGGTTCGCGTTTTAACATTTCAACGGAAGGAAGATTGGACGAGCTCTCTCGCGCGCTTCTTTCGGATTCATAGAGCGCGCGGATCGTGTGGATAATTGGCGTGAAATATGGATCGCCAGGCTAATCACTGTCCCAGAGATGCTCGAAGAAAGTTCGACCGAGAGGAGGCTACTTTCGCGGGGAAGGGCTTTGGGAATTGTCTTCGCCGATTTTCGCTTCGTTGTAGGTTCGAGGAACTGTTTTAGAAGTACTTAACTCTGGTGCTCGTTCTAGAGATGCGCGCACGAGGGATCCTAAGTCCGAAGACGCGATCGCGAATGGCTAATGAATTGAAGGATGATCGGTTTGCCGTTAAATATTCGTTTGGAAAGGTGTTCTTGTATTATGTTAGGCGAGATCATTTGTTGAGATTATATTACTCAAGATATACAGTAAATTCTATCTAATTGTCGCTCAGGGTGTGCATAAAGGTAAACAATTTGGGAAGAGGAGACACGATTATTCGAGTCTCGCGGCAAATTTTCATAGTTGCCGATTGCCGACAATTATAAAAACGAGGTGCAAGGCTCGAATAATCGTATCTTCTCTTCTGTCTGTTGTCCAATTGTCCATTTTTTTACAAAATCTGAAAAATCTGCAAAATCTCAATTAGGGAGAATTTACTGCAATGTGCAAAAGTAAATCGGTTGGTTGCAAAATTCAGTGCAGTTTTATAAACCAACGATGAGAAATACAGTAATGTCTCTCTAATTGACGCTCAGATTGTCCACAAAAGTGGACAATTTGGGAAAAGGAGATACGATTATTCGAGCCTTGCTATAGTTGTTGTCAATTCGTAACTATAAAAACGAGCTCCAAGGCTCGAATAATTGTATCTCCTCCTCTCAAATTGTCCGTTTTTGTGCAGAGTCCGAGCGTCAGTTAGGGAGACATTGCTGTATTCGGCGGAAGGTTCGATTTCTATTCCCCGTTTTGGCAACAATCTTCTCATTTCAAAGTACCGATTTAGGATTTTGCACGAAATTTTAGCAACGCAGGCGTCCGGACTTACGGATCGGTGTGTGCACGTATGTAATTTTCTCTCGTACGCTAAGAAAACCTTCGAAAAGAGGGTCGATCGAGCGGTGCTCCGCGTCCTTCGATCCCCGATTGCTAGTCAGTTAGTCGATAAGTAGCCATTACGTTGTAATATACGATGTACAAGCGATCAGCAAAGAGAATGTCTCTCAATGCGGAACCGTTGCGATCTACCGCGAACAATTGAGCATAATCGCGGCTCGCATTGACAAAGAAACGTCACGGTGCAACGACTCGCTGTTATAATTGTAGTTGTGTAAGTCGAATCGAATGGAAAGTCGCTGAAAACCGAGTTGGAAAGTTGTCGACGCGTGCTATCAATTACGGGATTATTCCTAATTTCACGGCTTTACGTCAAGACAATTGTTTCAGAGAGAACAACTTGGTCAAAATTGGATCAAGCGACTTAACACGTTCAACGCCGGCAATAAAATTCATTAAAATTCTCACAAAGTCGAAGCAACTTAATTAATTAAACCGAAACTAGAAAGTTATAATTTATCGTAGCGATATGAGAACTCTTTCGCATCCGAAACATCCTAGTTAAATTCAGTTTGTTCGAATATACTACAATGCATGTTAATGTTCAAAATTGGTCAAAAATTAGCGTCACCCATATGTGATCGACGCGGCGCCCAACGTGTTTAAATTAATTAAACTTTAATTAAACTGCTGTTAACAACTGTTATATTCGAGCTTGTGTTAAATTGAAAAATCTGTTGCTTCACGATCATCGGGATTCTCGAAAAGGCATTCGCTAAAGACTGATAAACATGTTCGCCATACAAAACGTATTATTTTAGTAAAAAGTGACTTTCACATTTTTAGTAACATTTAAACCGAAATTTAACAAAATAACACGTTTGTATATTTCTATATTAGAAATAATAGAAAACGGAAATATACAAATATAATTATTTTTCGTTTTCGTTTAAATATCGGTAAAAATGTAGATGTTCCTTTGAGTTTATAATTATTCGCAGCACTCTATATGGCTTTGGCTCTTGCTTAATTTTGTGCAAGTTCGAACAGAATCTTTTTAAAAATGGCGGACACTTGCTTATTTCGCTGGCTAAAACTGGTTGAAAGGATCAAGATAAGTGAAGCCGTGGGACTAGGTAAGCCCGTGATCACAGGCTATAGATCTCCGTAGACTACACTCGAAGTGCATGCATTTGTGCACGTCCAAAGATCTCTTCGGTGGTCTCTTCGGCGCTTGGATTCCTTCGGAGAGAAGCTTGTTGCCCCGGCGTGCCGGAAATTCGGTCGTAAGTAACGAGGAACGCGGAGAAAAACGGGAAGAAAAGCCGCGAGTGGACCCCGGGGAAATTTTTTGAAGATCGGTTCGGCCGGGCAACTGGAAAATTCAGAGACCCCTTCTCTCTCTCTCTCTCTCTCTTTTTCTCTTTCATTTTCTCTTCTCTCCAAAGCGGATTCCACGCGCGTTCAGAGGCCCCCCGAGCACTCTCGCTCTTCTCGCTTGCTCTCGCTGTCTCTCCAGAGAGATTTTCTCTCTCTCTCTCTCTCTTTCACTCTCTCTGCACGTCGCGACGTGCCAGGAGAGAGGTGCTTCAGACTTCGCGAACAGCAGAGAGCACGCGGTATCCACGCGAATCTTGTAAATACACTTCTGTACATACGTGTATGTAGAGAGAACGGCGGCGCGCTTTAGTCGATGTCTGAATCGATTGTTTAAGTCGGGAACCGAGTCGGGGATTTCCGTTTTCCGCCCTCCAGGAATTGTCGTTTCAGGAAAACGTCGGGAACGTTTGCTGTCGCTTCAAAACACGTGCTCGGATTTGCGAGTTTCTGGAAATTATTTTGGAAAATTTTGTTAACCATCTGCGATCATTGTTTCTTTTTGTTCTTTTTTTACATAGCGGAGAGCATACTTACGAGTAGTTCTCAAAATATTCTCAGGCGAGAACGGTAACGATTGTGACAGATGTATCTGTTCCCTCGGAGGTGCGCTCTTCGCCTTCAAAAATTTCGGTTTCGTTGGATTTTCCTGTCTCTGAACGAAACGGAACTTCGCGGAATCGATTAACACGTTCCGTGCCGAGCTTTTTTTTACTCGAATCTTCACACTTTGATATTTTACTAAAACTTGATGTATTACGTGCAATTATTAATTCTCGTACACGTAACAACGTAACAAAAACTTATCAACGCCCATTCTTGCGGTGGAAATTGATTCTTCGGTTCTAAATTTCTTGTAAACAATTTGTTCAGTTCACTAAGTAAACATGCAAGCGTGTACCATCGATGGTACACGTGGCACGGAACGTGTTAACGTACGTTCGTATACGTTCAGTTTCCGCTCCAGAAACCGTGATTTTCGACAAAAATAATTTCGGAATAACGATGCGAGAAACGTTTTCGAACGCGACCGTTGCTCCAAAAAATCGTGCTACGTGAACTTCTTGAAATCCTTTCGGGAAAGCCTCTTAAAGAGCGCGCTTTGAAGCAATTCTCAGCGAAATCCCAGGGTGAAGGCGAGACTATAGTTTTCTATGGAAGCGAATAGAGAACCATAGTCCGATTCGCAAACGTTGCCGTGCGACGCGGATGGAAATTCACCAAAGTATAGTTGTATGTTCTGTTTATTCGTTTTTATTTATTCACGTCATCACGTTCGTTCCGTCGATGGACGTAGCCGCGACAGACGCCTACTAAAGACACAATAAAGTATACAGATATAATAATCTAAGATTCCGTTTATTACAACCCCTTCCTTTGATCACGTCCACGCGCGAAACGATAGAAAGAGAATATATGTATATTTATATATATATATATTTATATATATTTATTTATATCATAATACGATTCTTCGATGCACATATACACGTCTTTTTCATAACTACATACCACCTCTCGGAGTTTCTCACCTATTGTCGCGTCTTGATGAAGTATACACGTACATCTGGCTCTCTTTGTTACACGGTATTATCTTTTTACAGGACTCACATTTACACGGTTTCTTTTGACACGGTTCGTTCACAGTTACACGAGCTTTTTGACACCTTTTATTCACATTCACGCGGTTCTTTTCACAACGTGGTTAAAACGATTTCGCCCCGAGAGAAAGGAAACGTATCCGTCAATTACGACGATGGAAAAAGCAAGGCCGTGAGCAAAATGTTGATCTTTTAAAAAACATTACTTGATTCGACTCTTCTCAATGCATTAACGTTTCTTTCTTTCGCGCGTTCGTCGAACGCACGCAACGAATGCATTACCACAATGTCGTACGCGTCCCGTGTTAATCAATTTCACTTTAAACACGTTTTCTTCTGTGCTACGAGTTCGCCGAATGAATGGATCTTCCTGCGTTCGTGTCGTATTCATTTGATGCAAGTTTGATTACTCTGCGTGAAATCAATTTGTTAGCAACATGTTTACGCGTTCGCCGTGTAAAAAGAGACTCGGGTGTACGTTCGTTTATCAGGTAATTTACGTGATCCGTCTGGTATTCGTCTGATACACATATGGAACATCGCTATACACGATGGTGCTACGATACAAATGTCGGTGATATTGTCGGTGAAAAATATAAACGAGCATAACCATTCCGCGATGCTGCATTCACAGACAAAAGTATTCGTACGTGAGAATACAACCAGGTAACATAAGCAGATAACATAATCTTGGGAAAGAATTTAAGAGTAATACCATTTTCAATGTTTTCAAATTCATTTTCAAATACAAACAATCAATTTCACTCGCATCAATTCGTCTACTATTCATTGCAATTGCTTCCGAAAATATATGTCCTCCATGTAGATCTGTAATGTACTATCGAAATACAGGATGTCCAAAAAATGTCTCGTAATCCGGAACTGGGGGGTTCCTGAGGTCATTTGAAGTAACTTTTTCCCTGTCTCTTATACACATCTAGATGTGTATAAGAGACAGATACAGGGTGTCCCAAAAATGTCTCGCAATCCGCAAATGGGAGGTTCCTGGGGTCATTTGAAGTAACTTTTTCCCTGTCTCTTATACACATCTAGATGTGTATAAGAGACAGATACAGGGTGTCCCAAAAATGTCTCGCAATCCGCAAATGGGAGGTTCCTGGGGTCATTTGAAGTAACTTTTTCCCTGTCTCTTATACACATCTAGATGTGTATAAGAGACAGATACAGGGTGTCCCAAAAATGTCTCGCAATCCGCAAATGGGAGGTTCCTGGGGTCATTTGAAGTAACTTTTTCCCTGTCTCTTATACACATCTAGATGTGTATAAGAGACAGATACAGGGTGTCCCAAAAATGTCTCGCAATCCGCAAATGGGAGGTTCCTGGGGTCATTTGAAGTAACTTTTTCCCTGTCTCTTATACACATCTAGATGTGTATAAGAGACAGATACAGGGTGTCCCAAAAATGTCTCGCAATCCGCAAATGGGAGGTTCCT